TTATGACATTTTGACATTTTCTTAATTAAGCTTAATTATGCATTATTTGATGCAATGCATTAAAAATGAATGTGGATATGTGCTTCAGTAATAATTGGTTGTAATTACTGTTATAATATTGTGATAATATATGTGTGTGAAACAAACAAGTAAAGATTGGTTGACATGTTGGTTGGAGACTGATTGACTTGTACAAGATGGTGGGCCGACGGGCTTTCCTTTAAATATTGTGTTTTGATATTATTCTCTACTAATTCACGTGATACAATGATTGTGAGTTATAAGGAGATTATTATTGTGCCAACGGGCAAAGAGTAACGACTCTATTTATTGAGTCAACAATTTAATAACACTGAAAAATATCGTGATAGACATGACTTCTTACTTGTTTAGTGTGACTACTTAAATACATATTTTTGAGACATTGTTTTTATTATTGTATAGATTTATTGTTACTTTATGAATTTACTGTTATTATATTATTCTACTGCTCATGCCATTGGATTGTTACTATTATTGATATAGATACAAATACTATTTGATATTATCAATTAACTGTACAATAAGCATGTGACATACTGAACATGTAAAATACTGATTTGATACTAATATAGAATAATTGGATAGCATGTGTACATTCATACGTAATTTTACTACATTGATTTGATTTTAATAGTCTTTACTAATGATTTGATAATGATATAGAATAATTGGATATCATGTGTATATTTATATGTAATTTTATTACATTGATTTGATTTTAATAGTTTTTACTGATGTATATTTCTTTATTTTGAATGCTATTATTTTTTTCATTAAAATGCACTGAAATTAGTTAATTGACATGCATATTAATTGCACTTGCATCCATGTGTAAATAAATAAATATGTGATTTGATTGATGATTGCGGTGACAAATGATTAGCAATTTATTTTATTTGTAAGAATTTGCAGTGAACTTGCAATTGCGAGGATGACATTTTATAAGGTAGGTAAATTGTAATAACATAAAATCTTATATTTAAAATTTTCAATGTGAGCGCTAAAGCGCCGGGGTTGGCGGTGCCCAGGCGTTTATCCCTTGAGTTTTTTGGATAAAAAATGAGTTTTAAGTGAGCATTGCGGGGGCACTGGTAAAGCGAACATTTTGATGTTAGGTTAAAATAATAATTTTTAAAATAAAAAAATATTTAAATCCATTTCTTTAAAGCCCTCACCTATCCATCTCTCTTTCATTATTGCCTTAGCTAAGAAAGAAAGACGAGAGAAAGGGGGAGAGAGGAGTAAAGAGAGAAAATCCACTTCAAGTCATTTTCGTCTGTCACTTCTGTTGCAAAAAAGTGTTTTGATCATGGTAGATAATCCAAATTCTATTGCTACTTTTAGTGATTTTGATTTTTTGGATTTTATCTATCTTAAATTTGATAAAATAAAATATAACTCATTTTAATGATTTTCTATCATGCAACTTTTGATAAATGATAGATTTTGTCATTCTAAGCATTTTGACTGGTTAATATAAAAATTTTATCAAGTGATTTTGCTTGTATGCAATTTTTAACAGAAATGTGAAGTATTATATTAATTATTAAATGATCTTTAGTTAATGTACTACATTAAGATATGACAAACAAGACATGTATTTGTTTACTGATCATTTGGTATGTTATGCATTTTTAGTATATTATAAAGCATACTGATAATTAGATTGTGTACATATGATATTGTTATTATGCTTTATATGATATGAAATGAGTATAATGTTAGAACAGCAAAACAAAGTCAGTTAATACATATATATTCTTGCTATCCAATAACTACTATACACGTGTAAACCTATGGACATATAAGTCTATATATATTATCTTATACATTGTTGTAGAGATATATAAAATAATAATACTTTCTCTGTTTTGTTCTTCAAGCCTTTCCGTCTCTTTCTCTGTTGTTCTTGAGTTTCATCATAGTATTAAGAGTGGTTCCGTCCTGAGGACATCTCCATGGCAACTCAAGCTTCCGCATCTTCTTCTACCGCAGTCGCCTCAGGTGTTGTTTATTCAGTATCGACAATCTCTCCTTCCCTAAAATTTGTCATTTCAAATCTCAAATTTCTTGTTCCGCATCAATTAACACGGGATAACTATCCCATATGGAGCAATCAAATTGTCAAGCTTCTAAAGGCCAATGGGTTCGCTGCATTTCTTGATCCCAAATCTGCCTCAGAACACTTTGTGTCTGACTCCGCATCCAAAATGCCGACCCCAATCAAGATCTACACATATGGCTTGTTACGGATCAAAATTTGGTTGTGGCACTGTGCTCCAGTATACGTGATACATCTTGAATCCACACACGAAATTTGGAGCACTCTTCAAATTCGATTCCAATCCTCGAACCGATCTAAAGTGATTCAGCTCAAAAATGAGCTTTACAATGTCTCGATGAAAACTCTATATATGGATTAGTATCTATCTGAGATCAAGAAGATTGTGGATCAGATTGCTTCTGCGGGCTCATCCGTGGATCCCAAAGATGTGATGATCTACATCTTGAACAATCTTCCTCCGGCATACCAGTTGTTCAAGACTTCAATAAGAACGATGCAAACGTCCCTCACCCTCGACAATCTGTATGCACTTCTCATCAGTGAGGAGATTCATATGAAAATCGAAGCGATGAAATTCCCCACAATTGCAGCTAATCAAACTATTCTCTACACATTCAGAGATCGCGGTAGACGCGGCAGGGCTCGATTGATTCCAGACAATCCTTCTTCAATCAAATCCAGTCAGCAATCCGGTAACACTTGCCAAATTTGCAAGAAGAAAGGACATACAACAGATGCTTGTTTGCATCGTCTCAACGTGAACTATACTCCAGCGCAACCTTCATCCAAGAACAACAATGCTCTTATTGCTAATGTTGATAACACACATTCGGTCGACTGGTACCTAGACTCTGGTGCTTCCTCGCACATGACCAATTCGACAGACAATCTCGTCAACTACAACACCTATAATGGCAACGACATGGTTACGATAGGGGACGGAAGGTCTGTTCCAATTGCCCATCGGGAACGGGACTCCTTCTAACCCTGGACAGTAAGCTATTTCTATCGCAGCTTCTTCATATTCCTTATATTTCCCACAATTTAATTTGTCTCTAATCTAGTTAAATATAATCATATTTCTATAACATTTGACTACAATGGCTTTGTCTTTAAGGATCTGATGACCAACCAAATCATTCTCCACCTACAGGTCTGTCGGCTGCAAGAACCTCTTCTGTGGACTGTCATAATAGGCTCGGTCATCCTCATCAACGTGTCCTTCAGATGATTTCTCAAACCAATCCATCTTTACATATTTCTCCCCTCTCTTCTATTTTTAATTCTTGCAAATCTTGTAAAGGTCACAAACTAGTTTTTGATAGTTCTACTAATCGCAGTAAAGCTCCCCTAGAGCTCATTCACTCGGATGTGTGGGGACCTTCTTCGGTTCCCTCACATCATGGATTTATATATTATGTAATCTTTGTTGATGATTACTCACGTTTTATATGACTTTTTTTTCACTTATGCTAAAATCTGAAGTTACAAATGTCTTTATTAATTTTGTGAAGTTTATTGAAAAACAGAACAACAGCAAAATCAAAACCATTCGCACTGACGGCGATGGCGAATACGTTAATCAACAATTTCAAATATTCGCAAGAAGTGCAGGAATTCTTCACCAAACCTCTTGTTCGTATACCCCAGAGCAAAATGGGATTGTTGAACGCAAGCACCGCCATATAATTGCCACCACAAGAACGCTTATTCAGACAACTAACTTACCCACTTCATACTGGCTTGATGCTGCATCTACGGCTACATATATCATAAATAGACTTCCGTATATTACCACCAATAACATATCTCCTCTTCAACTCATGTTCAATATTATACCATCTTATAATTATCTTCGTACCTTCGGGTGCGAATGCTTTCCTCTCAATCCTCCGCTCTATCGCACAAAACTCACTCCCACCTCTCCTTCTTGTATCTTCTTGGGCTATTCTGAAACTTAGAAAGGGTACAGGTGCTTGAACTTGGTCACTAATAAAATATCTATATCTAGGCACGTTCAGTTCAACGAATCTTCGTTTCCTTTCAAACATATGAAGTCTCCTGGCATATCTACTGATAACAATCTACCTCATTCTTTTCCACTCCTGTATCTTCTATTAATTCGTCCAACTCCACGAAAACGTCTCATATCAATGAGTCATTTGCTGAGCACATCTCTCAGCATCCAACTCAGTCTTCTTTATTTATTAGTGATCTTCCTACCGCTACCCAAACCTGTTCTTCTCCGGAACATCTGGCTCCTCATCCGACTAAGCATCGCATGAGTACAAGGTTACAAACTGCCTCTCTCAAACCAGTTCGTAAGCTTAATTTGTTGCATCAGGAACAAGCTATGACACAACAAGCTCATTCTGCTCCGACAACTTACACTGAAGCTAGTAAACTATTTGAGTGGAGACGTGCCATGGCAGAAGAATTTTTTTCTCTACAAAAGCAGGGTACATGGAGCTTAGTCCCTACTCCACCCAACGTTTTTATTCTAGGCTCAAAATGGACTTGCCGGCGCGACTCAAAGAATGATTAGTGGCTCAAGGTAACCAACATGAATACAGACTTGATTACAGAGATACTTTTAGTCCGGTTGCCAAGCTACCAACTATTAGAATATTATTTACTATTGCCTTGTTTCATTGATGGCCTATTCAGCAATTAGATGCCACAAATGCATTTCTGCACGGGGACATAAACGAAACAATTTATATGCGCCAACCAAATTGGATTCGAGGACTCCACACATCCTAATCATGTTTGTCTCCTTCGCAAGGCTATCTATGGCTTGAAACAAGCACCTAGACAATGGTATACTACTTTTACCAACTACCTTCTCAATGTCGGCTTCAACCTCAGAAAAGCTGATCCGTCCTTACTGATTATGAATCATCACCATATACAAATCTATCTTCTTGTATATGTCGATGATATTCTTATAACCGACAATGATTCCAAGGCAATATCTGAGCTTATTCATAAACTTCAATCGAAATTCACAATGAAGAATCTCGATCCAGCCAGCCACTTCCTCGGCATCAAAATTGATTCCTCAACAAATAAGTATTTTCTCTCTCAAAGCTTATACGCTCAATCTATTCTTCAATTAGTTGACCTTAATAATTGCAATTCTCTCACTAATCAGTCAGCTACAAAAATGCCATTACAGGTTTCCGGTGTGACAGCTAGCTTTGATCCAAATACGTATATACATATAGTTGGATTTCTTCAGTATTTAACTCTGGCCCGTCCCGACATAGCATACGCTGTCAACGCTCTTTCGCAACATATGCATGATCCGACAAACATTCATACATCTATGTTAAAAAGACTTCTCCGGTATATAAAGGGAACAACAAAGTTCAGACTACCGATCACCAGATCCAATCTCTTGCTTCGCACATTCTCTGATATAGACTGGGCGGCTGATCCAATCACAAGAAAATCTAAGTCAGGATATTATACGTTTCTTGGTTACACACTAGTTTCTTGGACGATCAAGAAACAAACAACTGTCTCAAGATCTTCTACAGAATCCGAATATAGGGCTCTTGCTTCCGCAACTGCTGACACAATTTGGATTAAACGTCTGCTCTCTGGTTTTCGAATACTGTACACAGCACCGGTCGATCTGTTCTGTGACAATACATCTGCAATTGCCTTGGCAAACAATCCCGTTTTTCATGCCCGAACCAAGCACATCGAAATCGATCAACGCTTTATTCGGGATCATATTCACAACAATAACATCAGACTGTTACCAATAAGCACAACTGACCAAATATCTGACATTCTTACCAAACCGTTGGCTACTCCGAGGTTCAAGTTTTTACGTTCCAAACTAACAATTGAACCTCAATTATCAGTTTGCGGGGGAATGTTAGAACAACAAAACAAAGTAAGTTAATACATATATATTCTTGCTATCTAATAACTACAACTACTATACACGTGTAAACCTATGGACATATAAGTCTATATATATTGTCTTATACATTGTTGTACATATATAGAAAATAATAATACTTTCTCTGTTTTGTTCTTCAAGCATTTCCATCTCTTTCTCTGCTGTTCTTGAGTTTCATCATATAAAAGTAAGAAATGTTGGTTGGAAATAATTAACTAATTTAGGTTGCCTAGAGTAGATATTATATCCTATACAGGATGGTGGGATGATGAGATTTTTTTAAAATAAAATTTGAGGTGTAATACTAAGTCATATGTGTCAAGTCCTAAGACCTAAATTAGATGAATTTTATTTTTTTATATTCTAATTAACTTAACAAATCCTTTAATTTTATTTTATATCAATAAAAAAGCAAAATCATTTATATATTCTTTGCACAACTTATTTATTTAGTATAACTAAAAGAAGGGGGATTTACAATTTTACATATATGCCAAAAAAATTTAATATGACTTGAAAAATTAAATGATATATAAATTAAAGAGGAAGATGTCGAAGTTCAATATGCAAATAAAAAAAAAAATACAGGTACCTATGTAAACCCCCTTAAAAAAAAATTGTTGACGTTTGAAGAGTTATTGCACGGGTTTTTGCAGATTCCTGCGCCGGCGCCGGGGCTCTGTCGCTACGTCACCGGCGGCTTCCTTCTCAACGGACAATTTGATCGGCACTATATAAAGCTTTTTCCTCAGCTAAAAAGATCGGCCAGTTCTGCCCGCTATTCTGCACTCGATGACCGCGGAGATGGACGAAACCCTTGGAGAGGTTCGCCGCCCCCTCTCTCCTTTCACCATTTTACTCATTGTCGTTGCTCTTCAATTCCTTGACGTGCTTCTCGAGAAGCTTAAAAAGGTAATCCAATCCCTTCTAGATCTCATCCACCGCAAACCTTTGATTATTTTTTTCAAATTTCTTTAGTTGCGTTAGATTGATTTCTTGGCTCTGCAACGCGAATTTGTTTTTCTCTCATTGGAAAGCTTTTATCTCATGAAGATTTTGGGGCGCATTTTTAATTTTATTGCATCGCTCGCAGAGGATTTAGGATGAGCTATTGTTGACACTTTATTACCTTTTTGCTTAAACAACCCATCTAATTTATTTTTTGTTTGTTTGTTTTGCAAGCTGTTGGAATGTACCGAGTGATTTGTTAGGCTAACCTTTCGTATAAACTGTTGAAATTTATGCTCTATGATGAATGTAATTGGTGGTTCCGTGGTTTAAAGCCTTTGTTGCATATAAAATGTTAGATTTATTGATTTAGCATTATGTTTTTTTTAAGTTTAAACTGATTTTTATTACTTTCTTGAATTTTATAGTTATGTACTTGAATATCAGCAAGCCGTATGGTGGTGTGAATTTTTTTTCAGTATGCACATTTTTTTAATTGATTTATGCTTTTTCAAACACAGTTTTTGTTAAAACAAAAAGGAAAAATTTAAGCCACTTTTTGTAATAAGGGGTTTCATTTCCAGGAAATCACAAAGAAAAGTACATCATTTATAATTGATGAGTGGATAATCCCTTGTAAAAGCAATTGTTAAGCTGCCTAGTTATATGAGGAATTTGAAGAGCTTTTGGAAAAGTTGGCCAGAGCCTTGGAGGTCCGACACAAAATTCCCCTACTTTAGGGGTGTGTATCATCGAGGGGATAACTTCTACTGTAATGGGACTTATTATGGATATGGTGTGCTTTTCTGTTTACTTTAATATCTTCAGGATCCCATGAAATTCATTCATGCTCAAATAAACTTTTAAGGATAGGAGCATGATAGTTTAAATGCTTATGTAGAATGGTAGTATAACTGAAACATGTGATGCTTCTATGGGACCTCCATGCTTGCCAATCATGTTAAGTGTCACATCCTGGGTCCAAAAGGTGGTACACTCTTGCAACATGAGATGTGATGAAGGGACATAAAAAACCTGTTTTGTACTCATGAGAAGAAAAATACATGTATACATAATATAACTAGAATAAATCATAATAAACAACAACAAAGAAATTGAACTTACATTTTATCATCATAAATTTAAATAATTGTTCATCATTATAATAGAACTACTACAAGCAAAAGAAATATGAGATAAAGCAACTAAAAAAATAAAATCACCCAACTATCAAAAGGAATATATGATTGACTACAAAACATAAAAATACTAAATATATTCTATGGGTGCTATATCTGCTCCCATGGTGATGGTGCACCTAACACTCTGAGAAAGTCTGTTGTGAACAAAAATAACGATAAGTGAGTTTGATGAATCAAGTTTTGTGAGTAACTTTTATCCATTAAAATATAAACGATAAAAGAATTGGGGCATGCAGCGTGACCAATCAAATAGATAAGAGTAGCAAAATATAATCAATGTATCAATGTAATAGTGCTACATGTCATGGTTCCTACGATGAGTTCTAATATGCTGATGTTATAAATGTATATGTGAAATTGTTACAAATGCAATGTTATTCCAATATTTACACGTACAATCACGCTTGGTATCATCGTAACTCAATATGACTTATCAATCATCATCATTTTCAGCTCATTCTATTTACGCACACACATATATACGTCAAAAATTGAATGCCAATGAAGAAGGAATAGAAGTGGACGTGGGACAATATCAAAGATTTGTTGAAAAATTAATTTTTTTATCTTATACTTGTACTTACGTCACATATGTAGTAAGTCTTAACAATCAATTTCTGCGCAAGCCCAAAAAGTCTCACCTTCAAGTTACTTATTGAGTTTTCATGTACATTAAATCAATAACTTGAAAAAGGGATTTTCACTAAAAAATATGATTCTCTATAAAAGTATAAATTGAAGATTATACTGATGTTGACTATGCGGGGTTACTAGTGGATAGGAGATTCATTTCAGGATATTGCATATTTTTTAGAGGAAATCTTATAACATGAAGGAACAAGAAACAATCTTTTTTTTTTCAAGATTAAGTGTTTAATCTAAATTCAGTGCAATTGCCCAGGGCATCTGCTAGCTTTTGTGGATTAAAATTATTTTAGAAGTTAAAAAAATTAGTTGGTGAAACCTATGAAGATTTATTGTGATAATAAATATGCTATTAGTAATGCTCACAATTTAGTGCAACATGATTGTATTAAATATGTGGAGTTAGATAGATATTTTGATTAAAAAAACTAATGAGTGGATTAATTTTTACTCCATATGTTCCAATAGAATGTCAACTTGTCAACATATTCATCAAAGAACTTTGCAACACCACGTTCGAAAATATTATAAGAGAAGATTAAAATGATAGATCTATACCATCTAGTTTGAGGGGGTGCTTGTAGATTGCGAGACTTGCTGCCTAGCCTCTAGCCCTATGCCTCCTGTTGTGGAACAATATGCTTTCCAATCATGATTGAGATACTTGGGTACACGGATTAAAGCTTTTCAACCCTTAGATTATTTCACTTATGACCCGTGGATTATAATTTGTCTGCCCCATAATTGCCCACCCCTTCAGGGGCTATTCTCCATCATTTTCTATATTTTTTATAGTTGACTTTGATTTATTTCTATATGTAAGATCCTTGAATACCTCCAATCTTTATACAAACTTGGAGCAATAGCAAGTTCAAGTAATCCTTCATATCTTTCAACTTTTTTTTTTTGTAGTACACAACATGCAATTATGCAACTATGAGTTTAGCTCAAATATCAAATTTTGCTTGTATATTTGATCTATTTTATGCTCGAATTAGGTTCAAATCGGCCAAAGCAAGCTGAGGTTTGAGCCTATATATGACTTTGTGCTGAGGTGTGTGTGTATGTATAGATTGAAGATGAGTATGTTGTGCATGTCTTTGCCCGAGCTTTCACTATGCAACCTTGTTAATTGGATAAAGTAAGCTCTGAAAAATAGTTTTGATACTACTGAGTATAAACAAATAAATCTTTTATTTGTTTAAAAACATTCCTTTAAAGAGATTCATTTTTATATGAACATGATCAAATTACTCAAGTATATTTTTCACCATATTCAATTTCCTCTAATATAATCATTTATCAGTCTATCCTTTCTAATTTTGGCCACATATATCACTCAGTTTGACAATTATTTCCTTCCTTAGTACCCATCACTAAAATCCATTGAACATAATCAGATTAATAGCAGTTTAAAAAATGTACATATATATATATATATATATATATATAACTGCTTAATGCCATGTCAAAATCTAATCAGAGCTGAACTAGCTCTAAATTGAGTTGGTCCAGCCTCATGTTGAGGTCAAATCCATCTTAAGCTTAGGCATCTCGTTGCATTTGTTGTCCATACATTAAAAATGTCAGGTTAGTCTATAATTTATGTATTGGATGAATACTTCAGTATTTTCTCAAGTTTTCAAGACTCGTTTTCCTAGCGAGCTACTACAACTCATTGGATATTAATAGCAACTTAATCAGTGGTGCATGCTATCAAGTCATCATGTTATATTTTTATTATTTTGATAAGGATCTGATTGGTTTTTGTTTTCCAATTACATATCATTATAAACCATTCACAATTTTAAAATCAACGTTTCATTAAAATACCTTACACAAATTGTATCTCATTAAGCTCCTTGTGGCGCTTGACTTTCCAGAGAGGATCTACAAGCAGTGAAGAAATCAAAATGCGGCAAGAGATAAACCAACTTCTTCAAGAAGCTAACTCTTTATCAACGTAAGTGATTGCCGTTGTGATTTTCTTAAACATATGGCAATATTCTTGGTTGTACTATTCTCCAAATGTTAGCACAATCAGCATGCTTCCTCTATCTCAATTATTTTCTTGGATTTTATGGTGTATTCTTTTGATTGCTCAAACTTGCATCCATAAAAATAAGAACACGGGTTTACAAGTGCTTTTGCATTGCAGACCTTCCACTTTTGCTCAGGCTGCAAAACTTAGACGCTCGGCTGTTGCAAAGGAGAAAGAACTTAAAAAAAGTATGTAAGTATTTTAATATCTCTATACTATTGTTTTCGGCTCATCAAATTGTATTTTGTAGCATTAACTGTTCAATTAATTCTGAAGTTGTTATTTCTGGGCATCACAACAACATACTGCGTGCTACTTTTCAATTGTTATGTTTTCAACATGCCAAAACGAGGTTCATCTCTGCATGTTCAGGAGATACTAACTCCTGCCGGAGGAGTGGATTGAAGGTGTTGACAGTTTGTGCATGTTCATCTCAAGATTATTTCTATGTGCTTGCAGTAACTTGAGTTAAACGCATACTTGTCGGAACTTGGATGTATTAAAAATACGACAAGTGTTCATTGACATTTTATTTAGTATTGTTTTGATTGCTGTTTAAGTAGCAATTTTTTTTTCTGATTCTAATGTAAATTGGGATTTCATGGTTTTTGAGAGTTCGGTTTTCAGAGCAAAGAAGCGAAATTTTTGTTGTGTACTGTCGTGAATAGATGATCTATAAAACTGCTTGTGAAATTTAGTCGAATTTATGATTGTTTCTAAAGAACTACTATGATAACTCCATCTCTGCAAAGAACTGTTTTTAATCGCTTCATAGCCTTCTCCATTTAACTTTTTGTTTGTAATTAATGTTGGTAAACTTAACTCACATATATTGAATTTGCAGAACAGGAGGAGAAAAATAATGATAAGAAGTGGTCTTTGTATGAAAAAGTTCTTCTTGTTTCGAAGGTGTCTATTGATGAATTTAGATATTTTCCAGTGGTTTCAGCTGCTGAGATTTTGACTAAATTTTGACTGATTAAATTTGGCAGGCATTACTATATACTGGGCTTTGCTGGCAATTTTGGAGCACACCTGTTGCTGCAGTTCCTCCACATCTCTTGCAGCCTTTTGGTAATATGTTCATGTGGTACTTTTTTATTAATTTATAACTTTTGGCTTTACAGGAATTATATCTTTCATGCACTGGGAATCTTTCATGTTCTTTTATTTAGGTTGCAACGTCAACCATTTTGTGTCAAATACTCGTCCAACTTATTTGATTGAGTTTTACACTTTTTATTGTCTAGTTTTAATAATTAAAAATACTATTCCAATAGTCCAGCCAGCTAATCATTATTGCGAACTGCCCTTCCTTTTGTAATGACCATTATTGTGTTCTTAACCAAAATAAGTGGCCTTTTAAGACTTCTTAAAATTAGACCTTTAGGAAGTTTGATGCAGTAATCAACTATCGTTGAATAGAAGTGGGCGTTTCAGAGTACATGAGAACCATTTTTGGTTCTGAATCTGTGAGTCATCTTCGAAGTTAGGTCATAAAAGGAAAAGATCACAGATGTTGTAAGCTCTTGAGTGCTTCTGTTTCATGGATTTACTGATGTCGCTTTGTTCAAATTGTGACTGATCCTCTTAAAATATGCTCATAATTGACTTTAGAGATTTTTTATATAAACTTAATGTACAGGTATCTTATTTTTTAGTCTTGGCATTAAATAGAAAGCTATATCATAATAGAAAAAAGATTGTACCGGAATAAGCTTCTAGTGGGAGGCATGCGTTGTACAATTGCAGATGCTTGGAAAGCAGGACAACCTTGAAAGAACCTGAAAAAAAAAACAATAAAGACGGTGAAAAAGATAGAAATTAATGATGCAAGTTTATGAAAAAAGAAATTGAACCGTATAAGCAAGGCTCGCTCAAACAAAATTCAGTACATCCTGGAAGATTTCAAGTCTCGTGCTTGGTGAATGCTTTACAATTCTGAAGTAGACGAAGAGTCTTGACATCTAAAAAAAAAATCCATGCCCTGTCTTAACTTAGATATGATTTTTCACATTTTTAGGCTCGAGAAATAATAAACTGCGGACGTAGTCTAAGATTGCCCTGCATTCCATCTATAACTAACCTGTCTCGTTATTTTAATATGGTAAACCTTTTCCTTAATAACAAGGAACATCAAGTTTGATTATTAGGAACTTGTATTGATTAAGGTTTTGTTTGAATTTTTTTCCCTTTTGTTTCTTTTGATAAAGAAAAAACATGTTTGGCTGGTATGGTACTAGCTTGGATTGAGCATATGCACAGCATCCGCAAGATTTAGGTTTTGTTTGGGATGGTTTTCTTACTGCTTATTAAAGCAGCTTTTTAGTGCAAAAATTAGAATTTTTGTACTAAAAAATTGCTTTTAAAAAATAATAAGAAAGTTATCATAAACAAAGCCTTAGTTTGCGATGGTAGAAGAAGAAACTGTGGTGATGGCCTTGTGTTTGATGTTGTCAACCATGTACTTTCCTTTTAGAAGCAAGAAAACTATTTGCTCCTTTGTAGCTTGTTTCAAATATTTATTATTTAAATAGGACTTCAGGGCTATTGTATTGTATGCATGAGAATAAGAGAGAGATCTAAGATTTTATTGTAATCCCTATTTTCTCTAATATAGTGAAATCATCATCTCCTTCCCGTGGACGTAGGCATCTTCGCCGAACCACATAAATCGCCGTGTTCTTTGTGTTGTTTGTTATATGATTTGTGTTGTCTCTGCTGTGTATTGCACAACACTTGCAAGATTAACTGAACTTGTAACTCTAAAGCTTGATCAGTCATCTGTCCAGGTCTGTTCAGATCTGCTCAATGCGTTAAGCTCTGCAATATATAATTTGAGGAGAGTCTTATCCTTTAAGCACAGAGTTGTTTCTATAACTTTCAGCTTATGATCATCAGGTCTTAAAGTAGGTGGCATAACCGTTGTTCCAAGTACTCTTAAATCTTGATCTTTTGTCTATATATTTTATTGGATATTGGAATATTTGCGAACACAGTGTGAAAGAAAATGAAAATAGAAAAGAAAATCGACGCACAAAAACACAATTTATACCGAATCGCTCAATTGATGGCCTGTTTGTGCCATTGAACATTTTAGTTTGGGTTGTTTATGAAGAACCACGACTCCAATCACTTTGATTTAACATAAAGATGGACACTGCCTTGTTTATAAAAGACAAGTTAAGAGCATCTCCAACCGAAAATCTCATTTTCACTCCAAAATACAGTGAAACTCAAAAATGTCATGATTCATCTCCAATCGAACTCCATTTTGCACACTTCTGCGTAGGTAACCGTCTATCTCCTCTTTTGCGCGTTTTTTCGGCAAATCCGGTTGAGATAAAAAAATCACGTAGGTGAACAGTGCGACATCAATGGCTGACATGAATAAACCTGCAAAGTGCATTTTTTTATTAGGCAAAAATTAACATTAGAAACTGTAGTACACACATAAATCTTACATGTTCTTTACAGGACGGTTTCTGTCTTGGAGAGGCGCTGATGCTTCCAATGGTAATTACATGGTACGTATGCTCCTAACTCCTAAGTGTGGGCGAATTATTATGTCCGGTCACCGGACGTCCGGACACCTAATTCAGACGCGCCACATCACCCGAATACACTGGGTCCCAATATATTTTGGTGACGCGGCGCGTCTGGATTGGGTGTCCGGACGAATCCGGACACCGGACATAATAATTTGCCCTAAGTGTGAGATTGTTCTGTTTGAACTGCTCCAACTTTATTTTGTGATTCAATTTACAGGTAGGAATAATACCCTGGCTGGTGCTGACTTCTCGGGTCAGCAAATTCTTGTTGCAAAGGTTTTCCAAGTTTATTCCGTTTTAGCATTTTCATGCCTCTCTTTTCTTGTAGAATAGTGATCTTATAATGAACCAAAATTCCTCAAATTTTCCCATTATGTTTCTGTATTTTCCTTTTGTGATTGTTAGAAGAGAATAACAGCCTGAAGGTGCTTTATTAGAAATCTGTGACAAGAGTTTTAAGCTTCGTTTGTGACGATTTTTTTCAGTAAGAAAACTGTCTCAAATGAAACCTTAGTTGAATATTATGTTGTTATGAAAAAATTTTCATTTTCTGAAGGTTTATGGTCTGAATTCGAACAGTCTTGTTCTTTTACTATGGCATGATTGGGAAGCAATTCTATTGTGAGTGTTTTTGCATCTAAGTTGTGTTCGGGGTATGTTATTCACATCTTCTTCACATTCTATTGATACACTATGGTTTGACTTTAAATTTTTTGACCTTTTTTTTCAAAAAAATTTACGATGAAAATGAGTTTTATTTTTACAATTAGTTTGTTATCCAAAATTTTAATGATGAAAAATTATATATATAATCAATTATTTGGTCAACGTTGAATAGGAAAAAATAACAATTTTGTGCGCTATACTTCTCTCCTTCTATTTTTAAGATGATAATGATTCAATCAAATATGTTTAATCAAGGGTATGCATGGGTCAGCTTTTTGGTTGCTCAAAGAATAATCATAATTTTATTTGAATATTATTATTTATTATATTTAATTTTTTTTTTTGATGAAAAGTTACTATTTAATATTTATAATCATAATAATGAAGCTATTTTTTTCATAATAATTAAATTTTGTAGTACCCATCATTGCTTGGCTTGATTGGTGGGCAAGTACGGTTGGGAACCCTTTAAGCCATCAACGATTTTTCTCGAGCGGCAACGCCCCTTAAGTGAGGCTCAATCAAGTGTGGGCTAGAAGTTTTCTGGGGTGGATGCCTCTTCTAGGTCAGTCAATGATTAGTCACGCCGTCAAACACTCTTTCAGGGGTGGGATGACAACGGGGGATATCTTATTTCAAAAATAAGAAAAAAATACAGTCATTTCAAATAGACTGTCATATCATCTATTATATAGACTTTTCATCTTTAAATAAGCAGATATAATGGAGATCATAATTTTTTTTTTCCAAAAAAAAAAAAATCATTTAAAAATTAAAAATTAAAAATAGCCACTTAAACTAGTCACCCATTCATTAGAGTTAGCACATAATACAAAGTTGTGAAATAGAAATCCTTAAAAGAATAATTTCATACATTAAAGAGCAAATAAAAACGTTACAGTGCAGCGTCAATGTACTCTAACTTCAAAAGATTGGATTTTAATGAATTCAGTCTTCTCTGTGACAATCACAGCTCTCAATATGGGCAAATTATTGCGTCCGGTGTCCGGATTCGACCGGACACCAATCAGGTGTTGCCATGTCACCAAAATATATCGGGACCCAGTGTATTTGGGTGACGTGACATCACCGGATTGGATGTCCGGACATCCGGTGACCGGACGCAATAATTCGCCCTCAATATGAGTTTGAATTGAGATTTAGGTTTTATTTGATACGGCTTTCTTATTATTTTTTAAAATATTTTTTTATATATAGTTTTTAGTTGAAATTATCATTCTAAAAATTTATTTTAAAAAATAATAAGAAAAACGTTACAAACGAAATCTTATAATCAAATATGAAGTTACCAAGAATAAAAACAATTTTTTTTTTCAAGAATAAAAACAAATTCTCCAAAAAAAAAAAGAAGAATAAAAACAGTACGATCTCACAAAAAACCCCCTGATTAACCTAACAATTATTAAAAAAAAAAAAAACAAAAACACTTTTTCTCGAGGTATAAATAAAGATCTATTTTATGCCTCATATAAGTACTTAGTAGTCTTCACAAGCAAACCTATTTCACAAATGAATGGGATGTTTATGGAATCCATAGTGTAATCACACAATCTCATGATCTATAATAGCTTTAGGAGTATAGAAGTATTTGTCATAGGATTGAATGCGTAGGAACAACATATTAATGAAATGATGAAAAATTAAACATGACTGATATATCTACTAAAAATTGATATGATCAATATGAATTTCGAGATAAAATTTGAATTTGGAGTAGCTGGAATTAAATTCAAAGCCATATTAACTCCAATTTCAGCAAATATATAGTTGATATGAATGTCTCAATAAGGCGAACTCAACGATACAAAAAAAAAAAAGGTCTAATCTAAGTCTAAAGGAACCCAAATTAAGCACTTGAAACATAATTGAAGACTTCAAATATTAATTGGATGACAAAATGATTTCTAAATTAGATATGCTTATAGTCAAATCAAGCGGTTCGACGAGACAAATCCAATGAGACTAAAATTACTTAATTCTGATATCATTAAGAAACTTAAATGCTGAATAAATAGTTCATGATCAAGGGAATAAATATGGGTCGTACAATGGAGCTTTTAGATTGTGGTATGGGTGGAGCCGAGTCAAGCCGACTCATGAGCCGGCTCATACTCGACTCGTTAACGAGTTCGCTAGCCAGCTTGTCGAGCTCGCGAGCCGAACACAATTTATAGTTCTTTAGGCTTATATAGCTCAAGTTTGAACATCCGTCAGCTTGACTCGATTACTTGTCACGAAGCTTGCGGATAGGGAATGACAAGGCGGAATGGCGGGGGAGAATAAGAGCTCGAGCCATGTGCTAACAACGATGTGTGTGTGTGTGTGTGCGGGGGGGGGGGGGAAACAAAAGCCCCTGCTGGAGCTCATTTTTTTTAGCTCGACTAGAGTTCGAGCTCAAGATTCTTCTCATGAGTCGAACTCGAGTTAGATCAAACTAGAGCTAGACTCGACTCGTTTGCCCCCCAAGATTCTTGACAAAATAATCAAAATGTTCATAAAAAAAAACTATAAATAGATACACATTCTTCAGATGAGGGAGAATTGAGAGAATTAGAGAGAGCCCTCTTATATTTTTCAAATATCATCGCTGACTGCCACTACTAACTATTGTCGCTAACAATCACCATCGCCATCGACGATTAACATAAAAAATCGCCACCATCTTCATAATACTGAGAAGATTTAACCCTACTATTGGGTATAATTGTCTATTTGTGGACACCTACTTTCAATACTCTTTATTAGAAAAATCAAGCATAACTCTAAACCCCACATTTGGAAACTCAAATCATGGGACCACAATTTTGGCCTAGTTACTCTTGCCTTAGGATTGCCCTAGCGAGAACCTTGTACCTTTAAATAGCATCTCTTATCATATTAGGTTAGTAGGTGGACTTGACTACTTTAATGAACTAGGAGAATGTTCTCAAACTCGTACCTAAAGCTAAATCCTACAATAGTCAACCCAAATCTCATTTTTCATATTTTTTAGTTGATTCCAAAACATGCCTTTAAACGTTAAACCTTTCATTAGACTTCTCAACTCTTATTAAGATTGTAAGGACCTTAGTGGACCCACTTTGCATAAGTCTCTCTTAAATAGACTAACATCACCTCTTCTCCCAACCTCTTTCATTTTGTCTTATTGGTCCTTTGGCTACTTATCCTAAGAATTCTCTTGTTCCTAAACTCTTCTAAATGGCCATTGATCAACATCCCTCTTTCCAAGAAATTTATCATTTTCATAGACCATATTTTAGTCAACCCTTGATTTATGATCCTCTTTTGTAAGCAGTCACTCCTCTCAATTATTTGTTAGAATTGAATAGGTCATTCTTTACTCATTATGATGAGCCTATAATCAAATTGAGGAGTGAGGCTCAAGCAATGGAGAAATTATCATGTGCAGATGTTGAACGTCGTCCAAAGACCAACCAAAATGCGTCACGTCACCCCTTGCTCGGTACCGCGGCTCGGTACTGCTGATGTGGTGCATTCTGGTTGGTCTCTGGATGTTAAACTATGCTCGACGTCAAGCAATGTCACTATTGCTAGTATAGGGTCTTAACCACTCTTTAACCCTCTAGCATTGGTGCCTTTTACGTATGATAGCTAGCATGAATAATTTGAGGCAGCAGTAGATACATCAAATGAATGCATGGAAGATTAATTGAATATATTATGCTTTTATGGTAAAAACAAGATCCTAAGACATCACTCAAGTGCAATGAGTAAAAGAATCACTAATGATAACGCCATCAACCACACTAATGCAATTCCTCATCATTTGGCCTATCATCTCATCTTAGTGATAGGGATGTCCAAGTCGCTTTCCTTCAAAATCAGATGAGTAAGATGATAAGAAAAATAATGAGGGTGATAGCATATATGTCTACCCTCATCACGATAATTCTAGCGGTCGTTGGCTGATTAGTTAATAACAAGACTACCTCTCACAATCTCTTGCTACCTAGACATTTACTTTCAATTGTAATTATTCACATATTTTTTTTTTAAAATATTATTTTATATATTTATTGATTTAATATTTTTTAATATATCTTATATTATTGAGATAAAAGATAAATATAATATTTTAAATAAGTTTTAATATAAGTAATTACCAAAAATACATTGAGTATTTCCTTTGTAAATATCAGCTTCAGTACAGATTGGCCCGCAATAAGTAGTTAATCTTAAACAAAAGGACAATCATATGATCCACCTAAAAAAATTCAACGAAATTAGATTACAATAATGTAATTTTCGTACGAAGAAACAGAGCCGTTCATCTCATTAACCTATCAGGGCCGTCTATATATTTCCGCTAACATCCACCGTTCACTCATGGTCCCCATCTCTTCGCGGAAACGAACGGACGAGATCTGAAGATTACGTTAATCATTCCAACATCCGCGGCTCATTTCACTTCAACCCGCCTTCAAGTACCCAAGTTACCCCGATGGCTTTTCCGTAAATAACCTCAATAACGGGTGCTAAGAAAAACATTTCACTTCACACGTGGCAACTATCCACCGTAAAGAGATGCTCGTCGCCACGTAGCGCCGCGTCTGCCCTTCATCTGCTTGAATACTAACGAGCGTTAGGAAGCACACCATGATATTGACCAATAGAAATCGAGCACACGGATTGATGACGTGGTACAGAGCTTTCAAATCCCGCCCAAATTTCTATCGACCCCTTCTTGGCCCCTCGACGCTTGCATCTAATTCTCTCACTAGCCCTCTCCTTCTTATTGCTCTTCGATCTCACAGTTCCAGCCGACCTTGCTAGCTCGCCGTGGAGAGAAACCCTAACCCTAGGTTCGCTTTTGTACCCCGGCCGACGTGTGTGTAGTACTAGCAGCTTCCGTTATCTGATCGATTTTTTCGGGCGATTGCGCAGTTACCACCATGAAAGGAGGGAAATCGAAGGCCAACACCTCGAAGAAGTCGGATGCCAAGTAACTTTTGCTTCTTTATTTTTGGTATTTCTTGGGAGTTATTGAATTTTCTTGGGTTTGATCGGGGTTCTGATGATGATTTGTGAAGGCTGGCTGTGAAAAAAAGCGTGGAAAAGAAGCCTAAGGGAGGGGCAAAGGGAAAGGGCGGCAAGGATCCGAACAGACCTAAGCGTCCGCCGAGCGCCTTCTTTGTCTTCATGTTAGATTTTATTGATCGCTTTGAATTTACGCTATTTTGTCGATCTTTGGTTTATCAATTCTTTCAGTTGGTTTGGCTGAAATAGGGAGCAGTTCAGGAAGGAGTTTAAGGAGAAGAACCCTAATAACAAGCAGGTGTCAGTGGTAGGTTATCTCTTCCAACTCTTCCTCTTTGTCCTATTTTTATATAAATAATTTATGATCTATAATCTTCAGGATTTGGTTGTTTTCTGATTTGTAATAGGTTGGAAAAGCTGGAGGTGATAAGTGGAAATCGTTGTCTCAATCTGTAAGTGATTTTCTATTTTGTACAAAGTGGATCTGAAATCATTTACAATAATTAAGAATATGCTCTTTGACTATTAAAATTACAGGAGAAAGCTCCCTTTGTTGCAAAGGCTGATAAACTGAAAGCCGAGTATCAGAAGAAGCTGAAAGCCTATGATGCTGAGGAGGTATAGTAAAAAAAAAGAAAAAGAAAACACTTTATTTTCATAAGTTTGGGGAGAAACAAAACCTTAGTTGTGAATCATGTATTCCTTTGGTATCCTTAGGATACTAAGAAGGAGGTGGCATATGAGGAGTCTTCTGACAAATCAAAGTCTGAGGTTAGCGATGAAGATGAAGGAAGCGAGGAGGATGATGATGAAGAGGATGATGACTGAAGGAAAAAGGGTATAATTAATAACTTAAAATTGATGGTGATGGTCATGAACTTCGCCGCTTGGTAATCTTTTGGTACTTTCTGTGGCTGCTCAATGCGTTCGAGTAGAGTTCACAAGAACAGATGTTGTTGTTTCTTGTTTATGTTCTTTCCCTTATATGATTCACTGTTGATGTTTGGGATCACTTCTTGATCTCCTTGTATCTACCTTTTAACTCCTTTTTTGTTGTTAGTAGAAGTTTTAATATATTTTTGGTTTCCCCAGTTAAATATCTATGGCATGTTGATGTATTTTCAGATTTGATAGATGTTGATGTTGGTGGTTACAATTCGATGACTTTGATTGCTAGTTTTATAGAAAAATAAATAAATGCGTGAACTTGGACTGGGTATTTCTCTGGTTGACTTTGTATATTTATAAACCTATGGGAATGGGAATTGCAAATTCTCAATGTTTATTTTTCATTCGACATGACAACTATGATAGTGGGTTGCTGGATGGCATAATAATGTGTGCAAACAAGATGTGACTAGCTGCCATCATCTAGGCAAAGTATTACCTGTGGTGTTCAGATTCGTTCAGAGGTGTTCAGAGTTGAATCAGGATGTGTCATGTTACATATGATTATGTGCATTTGGGTGACGTGGCACGTCTGGATTCACCTTTGAATTGTTCGGACACCAGACTTAATATTTTGCCCATCATCTAAGAGCAATGAGCCTATTTTGTTGGTAGGAGATTAAAGGAGGGTTTTGGTGGTTAGCATATCAGAATTTTTAGTAGTTGAATTAGATAATATTGTTGGTTTCAAACTCCGTTGGATGCAAGATTTAGTGCATTTAATGATTCTGTTTGTATGATGGCTTTAAGCCTTTGGAGTTGTAATTTTGCCTCTTATTTGATCGATTGTACAATGATATTCTAATTTTACTTATTTATTGGCATTAGATTAATTGTTTATTTTGAGAATATTAGCCTTAAAATTCCTATTTAATAATATGTAAATTGTTATAAGTTGGCTTGGATTTTTGTTTCTTATTTTAGTAAGATGATATTAAGATTGAGTTGATTGTTTTAATCTTTGATTTCCTCCATGTATGTGCTTTATTGGTTGTGATAATTGTTGCTCCATTTAGGAAGGAGTATTTCATCATTAGTAATGAGTATGATGAGTTTTGAGGTGCATTTTCAAGTATGTTCTATTTCGTGTGAAGGAAAATAAAGGAATTCAATGCAAGATGATAGGGATTTAAAAAGTTTTTGGAAGGTAAAGATTCAAGGACAGATAAAATATGCTTGCGTTAGTGCAAGATAAATTTAATCGTTAATCTTTAAAGCTATAATAATTACAAGCGTGTAACATCAATAAATTTTAAGTTGTTATTAAAATTTTCTAATGATTTGCATTTTATTGAAAAAAAATTTGTGATTGACACGTAGACATTTAAAATAATTGATTGATTTTTTTGGGGAAAATTAAATAATTGATTGATACATGAATCGTTTGCCAATTTTAGAAATAAAACCCAGTTTGAATAAAAGAGATACTTGTATAATTATTTTTATATGCTTAAGTAATGAATAAATAATTTAAAAATTTTATGGAAGCCAGTCTTAACTTTGGATAACTTTTTATATCATATATCGTAATCAGTGATGTTATCTTCAGTTTGAATATCACATGAAACAGCAAATACGGCAATCAGTTGTAGAAAAATAAGGCCTAATCAATCCAGTAAATGCAGTAATTTGATGAAAAATGTCCATACAATATCTCATTTAAGAGTAGATTTATGGATAATTGAAGGAACATAATGAAAGCACTGTTCTTAACATACATATTATGACACCACTGAACCCAGTCCACATGTATACATATCATCTTAACATGTTTGATCACCTAATTAGTTTCTTCATGTCAAAGCCACTCCTATACTTCTCTCTCTCTCTCTCCCTTCATATGTTGGGTTTCAGGTTAAGTCGACTTGCAATCTTCTGTCCAAGAGATTTATCACTCTGCATGCATACAACATAACATAATAAATCTCCTTTGGTTGCTTTCAACAAAGCATAAATACATATATTTATAAGATCCAGCTTATGTTACAAAAGTTAGAGATAAATCTAAAAAAAATTGGTTAGCAATTATTTAAAATGGCCGTTTAATAGGGGGACACAATAGTCTAACCTGAGCCCAATATGAGATCCAGATGCTGCGAATTTCATGGGTGACTCGGGGGTCAGACAGAGCATCAACCCATCTACAGATGAATCTCTCTTGCCTTAAAATAGCAAAGCAAATGAGACTTTATCCTGTAAAATTTCATTCTTTGTGTATATTGAAAAGTATATAGGAAGGACGACACAAACCTGTCAGGGTCAAATGACCTGTATCTCTCTCCAGGCTGCTTGAAATTGTTCTCTTTGCCAATCACGCACTGCAGCAATCAGTATTACCGTCTCAGCTATCAGGCAGGACATTTTTTACTCCAAAAAGATTACTTTTAACCAAAGACAAACCTTCTCACGCCTTCCAGTAAGAATAGGTTGCGGGATGGGGAACTTCTCAGCATGTCCAACAGGATCATACCTTGAAGGGAAGTAGTTGACCTGTACAAAAAACAAAAAAAAACAAAGTGCAGATGAACAAATATGTTCAAAACTAAAACTGTTACAAAAAAATACAAGTGTACCTCTTCATCTCTGTGCATGAAATTCATGAAACCTTCATGATGATTGTTATGATGAGCAGACTTTGGGGCATTTGCAGGAAGCATCAAGTAGTTCGGTCCAAGACGGTGCCTTTGAGTATCAGCATACGAAAAGATTCTAGTTTGAAGCAGCTTATCATCCGAGTAATGGATTCCGGGAACCACAATCGCCGGGCAGAAGGCAAGCTGCTCATTTTCTGCAAAGAAGTTATCAATGTTCTTGTTCAGGACCAAACGACCAACTGGTTGAAGAGGGATAATGTCCTCTGGCCAGGTCTTTGTGACATCAACTGGATCAAAGTCGAATCTATCCTCATAGTCTGGATCAATAGTCTGGATGAATAATTTCCACTCAGGATAATTTCCTGCAGCTATGGAATCATAAAGATCCTTGGTGGCATGGCTGTGGTTGCTGCCTCCAACTTTTATAGCCTCCTCTTCTAGTAAATTCTTAACTCCACAAGTAGGTCGCCAATGGAACTTCACATAATGAGCTTTCCCAGATTTGTTGATAAGTGTGTAAGTGTTCACACCAGAACCATCCATGTGCCTGTAATCTGCTGGAACTCCCACATCATCAAAGAGGAAGGTAAACATGTGCAAGCTCTCAGGGTGGTGAGAAAAAAAATCGAGGATCCTCCAGTTTTCCTGGATATGGGACTTGGGATTTGGTTTGAGAGCATGAACCATGTCTGGGAACTTAATTCCATCACGAATAAAGAATACTGGGAAGTTATTGCCAACTAGATCAAAGTTACCCTGGCGCCAAGAATAAATAGTATAGAGAATAAGCTCAATTCAATACTCACAAGTTTATACTCGAATTTTATACTGTACTACAGTTCTCAAATCTACAGATATTACATTTCTCAAATCCACAAATATGAACCATGAAATTAAAGCCTTGTTCATGAGCTAGCAAGTTTGGGATAGTTTCCATGCATATTCTGAAAGAAAGAAGTAATATGAAAAGCTTGGTTGATATGAATTGAAATGATATTGGAATTTGTGTGATGAAGGGTGGGGCTGGAGACACAGCGAAGGTTGTGGATTCTTTATATTTGGATATTTTTAGAAGGGAAGAATCCAGTTTAGAAGAAGAATTGTGGTGATATTGACGATAAGGGAAGAGAAAATTAGATAATGAAGGTCTTAGAAAAAGGGAAACATAAGATAGATGGAAAGAAAGCAGAAAAAAAGGGTAAAAGATAGAATAAGTCCCCATAGGAAGGAAAAAAAAAAAAAATCAATATTCAACTCTAATTGAAGTCCAGCCAACTCATGATCCGACTTAAGCTTGGCTCGATAAATGACTCATGAGTTGAGCTTGACAAGCTAACGAGCCAAGCTTATGCCATCCTTGATACGTTAGCTTGCGAGTTGGCTGGCTCGTTTAAAAAATATTAATACAAAATGGGCTTAAAAAATAGTGCAAAATTTGCTTGAAAAATATTAGGATTTATGATTTAAAGTACAAAGTTATTAAAATACTTCAAAATTATATCTCACTTTCTAATATCAAGTGATTATTTATTATTTTTTATTATAATTTCTCATTTTTCTTACCATTTTATTAAAAAAATTGCTTGAATCATAATTATTTTCTCTCCTTCATTATAAACGAGTTGGCATGTAAGCCAGCTTGAACTCATAAAATAAGTTCAAGCTCAAGAAGATACAAAACGACTTGCAGTAGCCATAGGTCGTGATTGACTGGGGTTGAGGAAAAGCTCATCTTCTTTATCATCCACTTCACTCTAACAATGAACTACTCCATTGGAGAATCAAATAAAGCATTGAAATTGCTGAGCAAAATAAAGCTGAAGAACAATACATGGAATTGCATAAGAAAAGAGCTTTGAAACTAAATTGATGAAGAGTGAAGAAACAAAAGCAATGAAGATTGTGGGTTTTCTTTTTATTTGAATATTTTGAGAACGGGATAATCTAATGTAGAAGGAGACCAAGCTTATAAAGAGAAGAAGAATTGATAAAATGAGATGAATGAATCTCATAGATGGGGGTTTATGAGATAGAGAGAAAAGGGGATAAGAAGGTTTTATGAGATAGAGAGAAAGGGATAAGAAAGTAGCACAAAAAGGGAGAATGAATTCCCAAAGGGAAGGCCAAAAGCAAACTATCCCTATCGAAATATAATGCACCGAAATTAACAAAACTGGCCTTAAGCAAATCTGAAGGTACTAAACTAGGCCTAAATAACAAAAAATATTTAAATCTACTAATAATTAACTTAATTACAAAAAAACGTGCTCATAATACTAAAAACACAAACTCATGACTATAGACTCAGGTAGAGTTATAGTAGATTAATATACTGGAATAAAAAATATATATAAATCAGAACCATAAACAACATGGATGGAAACAATTCATTAATGCTAAGATTTCATACAGTTAAAAAGGTTAAAAAACTCTTAGGAAGGCTGGTAAAAGTGGACGACATGAAAATAAAGAATTGCATGCAAAATGAATTGAATCACAAATATAATTCATCAGGAAATAGATGAAGACATGGAACTACAAAATTGTTTCATGGGAACATATACTCCTGAAAAGTAAACAGAACTCAATGATGCAAACCTTTCAACGTGGGAAAGTAAAAAAGCCTGTAACATAGTAAATGATATAATAAAAATAGGAGAAGATGAGCAATTTTACCTCCCTTGTGTAGAACTTTACAGCAAATCCTCGTGGGTCTCTCAAGGTCTCAGGACTGCCACGTTCATGAATGACAGTTGAAAAGCGAACTATAACGGGAGTTTGAACTCCTGGAGCACGAAGAAAATCAGCACATGTGAGGTTAGAAATATCGTGAGTGACCTCAAAGAAACCCTTGGCACTGGCACCCCTAGCATGAACAACACGCTCAGGAATGCGTTCCCTGTCAAACTGAGCAAGCTTTTCAATCAAATGATAATCCTCAAGAAGAATGGGCCCTGTTAATGAAAAGAATAAAAAAATTATATAATCTATAATACAAGAATGATAAATGAAGAAAAGTGGCATTAGCAAGCTCAATTCGTGAAAATATTAAAAGTTGTTACCAAGGTCCAAAAATCAAATCCCACCTAGCCTTAGCACCCATGACACTCCCAAAACCAAACACCTTAAAAAGGAGATGAAAAAGGGTTCATCAAAACAGGAATTATTTTGTGCGGTCACCGGACGTCATCCAGAGGCGAATCAAGACGAGCCATGTCACTTTTTTGCTATGTACCGGTGCTATGTACCATTGTGTATCGGGTGACGTGGCACATATTGACTCGCCTCCGGATGGCGTCCGGTGACCGCACAGAATAATTTCCCCATCAAAATATAGAGAGAAGTACACCAATTTGCAATCATTTGCATTATAGTTTTATATCCTTGGCAGGCAAAGAATGATTTAATAATTCTCATTTTCAAATAACAAACCCATAAAACTTGCTGTGGACTCGTGCATGGATTCAATAAAATGATTTACTTAAAGATTCTAAAGAACGCTGAATTCATTATCAATTATCAATCAAATAATGCTATCAATTCAATAAGAAGATACAAGGTACATCACCAAATGGTAATGGGCCTGCTATCAACTAATTCATGTTTGTATATTAGCTAATAAGCTCTAAATGCATTATCAAGCTAGCTCATAAATGATAAGAAGGTTATCTCAAGTGATAGATGCACAATAAATATGATATTGATATATTATCACACCAATTAATTTCATCCTGAGTATATTCATTTATTCACAAAAAGATGTAAATTATGGCCCTATGTTTTTTTAAATTGCTTGTGCTTTGATCCCTAGGTTTTTAAAGCAAAATTTTTTTACCTTAGAACTTGTCACCAATAATTCGTTCTAATAGTTTCAATCAGCAAAGCCATTAAGAGACCATAATTTAACTGTGGGCGAGGGTAGTTGGTCACCGGTTGAGTTTCCTTCAGTAAAGGTTGAATCAATCATTTATGTTCAACTCCATTTTCCCCATGCAACATATTGCTCCATCTATCATATATATTTTAAATATATTTTACACTTCAAGAAGTAAGTCAAATAATAAAGACCAATGTTTAAAATTGCGTATTCGAGTATTGAGGCGTTTTTCATTCGTGAGGCGAGGAGTAAGTCTCAAGGCGTTTTGAGGCGTAAGCCTCAAAATCAAAAGATTGCGTAAACATAAAATGATAAATTTTTTCTATACTAATGAGTGAATAATATAAAACATAAAAAAACATAAGATATGAAGTGAAATAAAAATATCACAATAATAAGATAACATGAAATATAATTTAACTCAAAATTCTATCTTTCCCAAATCCCAGTGTTCTTTTATTAACATATAATTCAAATTTCCAAAAATAAATAACAATGACATATCACATAAGAACTCATAAGTCATCAACACTGTCATCACTAAGGGGTTCTTCATTTGAATCATCATTATGATGAACTGCTCTCTCCCCTTCCTCCTCTCCTATAGAGTCCAATGTCGGGCATTTACTTCAAGATTTATTTAAGTTTTAATATATACAGCGTGAGGCGTAAGCCTCATGCCAGTGAGGCGAGGCGGGCCTCAACCAAGTTGAGGCGAGGCGCAAGCCTCATAAAAAAAACTCGAGGCATAAGCATCAAGATGTTTTTTACTGGAATTGCATAAAGGCGGGCCTCATATTGCGCAATTTTAAACCATGATAAAGACTAATGGTTCGTTTGGGCAGTTGCAATTATCTGTAAAAATAACTATCGAGTTGTTATAGGAAAAATAGATTTTACAAAGATTGAAGTGGGTATTACAAACTTTTTCTTTTCAAGAAGTTGAATGACAATATTCTTGCATTTCTTGCACCTATCAAACTCTAGTACATTTGATTATAAAAAGTTGCTTCTTGTCATAGATATTTCTGAAAAACATCAAGGAAGTTATAGCCAAATAATAATGTGATAGATTTTTATGCAAAAATACTACACAAAACAAATCCTAAAATTAAAAAGATTCATTTAGGACAGCCATAACAAGGGCATCAAAATTATGAAAAGTCTTGGACCACAAATTTTCAATTATTATCTTAACAACATTAACATAACATCTTGCCCTTTGATATCTACAATATAAAGGATTCATATCCTCTCCAATTAATATGAAAGGCAAAGTTTTTTTTTGGACATTTGAGCCATTAAGCAAAACACACACATATCACATACGCAAGCTTCAAACTCAAGAACTCTTGGTTAGTAGCTACAGCCCTCAACCAACAAACCAAGGTTAGAAGATCACAGGCATCCAATCAATTTTGGATGGCCGCATTTGTTTTTTCTTTTCAAAACGATTGGTTTTGAAGAAAGCATATAGAATCAACTCCAGGCCAAACATAAAAGTGGATTGGATGTCGAAATTTTTAGCTTTACCCTTCAATTACCATGGCAACTGAAAAGACAAAAACCCAATGAATACAAGCAATTAGGCAAACTGTGAAATGTTGAGATAATTTTTGTCAAACCTAAAAGAACCCAAAGAAATTTACCAAAAAGAGATTCGTTTATCTCAAAAATTAAAAAGAGCTCCGCTTTATTAGGAGCAGTAAATTTCCGTTGCAGTAAAGGGAAACATAGTTTTCAGGTTACTGCTCTTCTCAACATCTAACAATATTTATGATTAGCAAAAGTTTTAATTAGTATAGTTGAAGCTTTTCTTATGAACATACAAAAAAGGACTGCGAAACGCATCAAAAGAGGGTAAAACACCCAAACTAAAAAAAACAAAATTTCAGAGAAAAAAACAAGAAGTAGCCTAAACTAAACACAATCATAGGAACCCACTACAGGGCCCAAAAACATATGCATAAAGGCTACTACAGTGCCTAACTAGCCAATCATTATCATAGCGAGGTTTTAACTTTTAAGCGAGCTTAGCAGAAGAAGTGCAAATTTAACACACAAAAAAACATGTGAGCACAGCTCAACTAAAATTTTCTCAATCACATCAAGTACATATATTCAATTAATAATAAAAAAACAAACCCGATTAATCCAACTTGGGTTCTAAGTTCTGAAATTACCTCGAGCACCAACCGTCAATGAAGAATTATTATTCCAAACTGGTGCCCCAGAGTTCGTAGTCCAAAAGGGCGAGTTGAACGCGCTCGACGGTCGGAACTGCCATGAATCCACATTCAAGTACTCAATCAGTTAAGATTCAGCAAAAGCAAAAGAACGAATCAGGACACATAAACCCAGGAAAAGGGACAAAGCAATAATCAATTCAGCTCAATAATCAATTCTCGACCCTGAAAAATCCCATCTTTTCATTCCATCGAAAGGTAACAATAGAAACAGATTACCCTTTGAGGATCCATCGCAGGAAAAATTGATGCTTTACACGAGAGATTTGGATTAGGGCACGCAACTCAGCTTTGTAGCAATGCGAATGGAGCACGAATTTCTGCACAAATGTGAGAACGATAATAAGAGGAAGAAGAGCGGTGCGTTTGGTTTATGGTTTCCAAAGGTTGGGTAGACCCCACTGCGCGTTTAAATCTGAAAATATTTGGTGTGATGCTGACCAATATTTATTTATTGAAAAAATATCCGGAAGCTTCTAAATTTATTTTAAAATATATATTAATTAATATTTCAAATTTAACTATTAAAAACTTCTATTTAAGAATAATTTTTTAGGAAAAAAAAAGAAAATTATCTTCATATATATATATAGGGAACCGGGGTATATATCCGTTGGACACGTCAAAGGGAGGGTTTAAATGCTTAACTAATACCTCAGCGGAACCTATTGAGGCCACCACCAGCATCGAGCCCACACTTATTATGCCTCTTGGAGGAGGCGAGACCGTAATAGAGGAGATTCAAACTTGGGATGGGGATTCCCAATCGTGCTCGCCCACCAACCATTCTAAATCTCGGTGAGTTTGTCTTCAAATATAAATATACAAATGATGGTGAAAAGAACAGTCCAATACACTCTCAATTAGTTAATAAGTTCTTATGAGCATAACATATTAGTTCAAAATTAATTAATTCAGTTTTATTTGATAAAAAGTTGAGAAAATAATGGATTTGATGCCCTAATTTTTTTAAGGACTTAAATAATATTTGATTTATTCTTTGAACAGGAATTAAATTAATCTTTTTAGAGGCCATTTAGATTTTTATTTAAAGAATTCATAAATTGAAATAAGACTTTTAAATAACAAAAAAATATTTTAATCATTCATAAAGAGTGGGGATTAATTGTGATACTTATCTCAATTATTTTTGAAATATTAAAATATAAAATTTTAATTAAATTTTTAATCATGATAAATATGTTTTGTGTATTATATTTATTTCAAAATAAATTTAATAATTTTGCTCTATACTTTAGTCCTGACCCAAAAATTATTTATGAAAGTAATATAGCAACAATATAGTTAAAAATAAGCATAAAATTATCATTTCTTCTTATTTTTCGTGATTTGTGAAACGACACGGAGAGTAGAACATAGAAATGACAGAAAATGATATGGCGGCAATCATTATTGGAAAAATTATTACGTGCGGTGTCCGAATGTGTCTGAAGACTAATTCATATGCATAACGTCACCCAATAAAATGTGCATTAGATGATATTGACATGGTTACTGCATCATCCACTACACCCACATCATTCGCTAAAGCTGGAGCTGGAGCAGAGCCCGTCGGCGCACATCAGAACCGTTGCCCACCTTCTCCTGCCATCTGACTACTTTATAACTGTCAAGGGGCAATAATGTAATTGCACAAAACAACTCTTTCACTTATTTATACCATTGTAATGAAATCAGTTAAGTCAATGAAATCATCCATTTCACTGTTCATCTTCTTCCTGCTTTACTTCATGTTTGAGTTCTCGACTGTACTGTTCCTCGGTCTGCAAGAGTTCATCAGATATGATGATGTGACGCATCTAAATTGACCTCCAAACACATCCAAACAACATATTTGGACCGACTCGCGTGATTGTGATTGGGCCCAACATCTGACCGAGATGGGCCACAATTAAAGCTGCAGTTCCAATTTCTAGCTAGATAATTAGCTCTACAAAACTTCAATAGCTGACCAAATCTGCACCGTCCAATGGATTCATCATGTGGACCACGAAAAAAGGAGTGGTTGCGGATAATATATAAATATTATGTATGTAGGGATTGGAGGAATTCACCGCCACCCAGTCTATGTTCATTTTAAGGCCAAGATAGCCAAAAGCTTCAGGACCATATAATTCCTTAAATTATATATTTTTTAATAATATTTGAACAAATTATGTCAAGATATTCTCATATAAATTATATTAAAATAAATTTAAATTTATTAATAATATATTAATAACAATAGAGAGAGTCATCATTGATGATTTAATCACATAAAATAAATATCAACATTTTATAAATCATATTAGAAGATGATATGTATTAGATTCAGCTTATGTTGATATAATTTTCTTGAATAGATTTTTAAATTTAAATAAATTTAATTATTTTGAAATTTATTATAATATCTTGATATGATTTTTTTTTTGAATAGAAGAGCTTTCACCAATTTTATATGAAATTTAATAATATGGGAAAAGGTAGTCCATAATTAAAATTGCCCCATTCTTCAGTTGAATTATATTTTAATGCCCCATTTGATGATATTTTAAAGAAAAATGTTTGGATAAGAAATTATACTTATCTTGAAATAAATATAATAATTAAATACTTGTTAGAATATTTTAATTTAAGAGTATTGTTATCCTGAACCCTAAACCCTAATATTTTATTATCATTTTTTGTGATAATTATATATATATATATATATATATATGTCAGATTAAAGCAAGTGAAATTAATAAAAAAGACAATAATACAATCAAAATAATCATTTTTTTAATGACTACATAATATTTTACATCACCCTGCAATAAAGATGTTACAGTGAATAATATTTTTAATAGCACAATATTTATGACACAAATTACTCACTTATGGACCAAAAGATAATAGAATCTATTCAAAAGATTTAATAAAAATGATAAATGTAATAAGTTTGCGATGAAATATACAATCTTCATAAAATTTGGCCAGTTTTTCTCATAAGTTGCAGCAAAGAATTTGCTTTCCTTTGAGCTCTTTGGGTTCCACTTTCTGCAACTTCACATAGATGTTCATAAACACCAAACTGGAGTGAGACCAACAGAAACGATGGCTTGTGCGTACAAAGCTCAAGAAGAACAGATAAGGCACATTCTTTAGTCTTCGGTGCCCCATCTCTTATATAACCAACAAGTTTTTCAATGAAAGATAGCTCTCCAATCTCAGCACGCCCATCAGACTGTGTTGAAAGGAGCAAAATAATAGAAAGAGCTTCATCGATCATGGCTAATTGCTTGTCATCAAGTACTTGAAGCAAAGGTTTCACAATACCGGCCTTTATGGCTCTGGTCTTATTCATGGAGTTTAAACATAAATTGAAGAGAGCAATGGTGGCATCTTTTTTACCTGTGAGTGTTCCATTCTGCAAGAGATCTATTAATGGTGGAATGCCATTCAAATCTCCAACCAAGACCTTGTTCTCATCAAGCATGGATAGGCTGAACAGGGCGGCCGCAGAATTCTCTCGAGCTTCCATGGTTCCACCTTTCAAAACTCCAATGATAGGTGGGATTGCCCCAGCTTTAGTTATAAGCTGTTTGTTTGTTTCATCAATAGATAAGTTCAGTAGAGCAGTCACTGTATTCTCCTGAATCTTTGAATCAGGGTAGGAGAGAAGACTGACAAGTGAAGGGATTCCCCCACATTTGGCAATTAGAATTCTGTTCTCTGGATTCTCCTTTGAAAGCATTCGAATTCTCTTAACAGCTTTTCGCTGTGTATCAAGGTGTAAGGAGGATAGATCTTGAACCAGAGTTTCGATTTCTTCCTTGTGGTCCTTAGGCTTTGAATTAACCAACGAGTCCTTCTTCATTAACTCAACTTTGTTCTTCATGCACCATTGAGAAATCACATTGCGAAGGGCGTAGTTAGGGGCAAGAGAAAGGTGAGCCAGAGGCTGTCTGGTTTTGGGACAGTTCCGGTGGCCTGCATCCAACCACTTTTGTATGCTTGATCTCTCGTATGTCTTGTTAAAAGAGAAAGAAAAAACAAAACAAGAGAACGTATCAACAGGTATTGTAAAGAATGGTAAGATTAGAGAAAAATAGCTTCAGGCTTTGTTTGATTCCCCCAACGTTTTTTTTTTCCATTCTTAAACGGAGGTATTACAACGGAGAAGAAGAATTTTTTTTCTTCTCAGATCGACAAAAATACGGAGGTATAGCAAAAAATGTTTTGAAAAAGCCGCGTAAAAAATAGCAAATAGTAACTTTTTCACCTATTGAAATCGGAAATGGAAAACTTATGGACAACCAAATGAGGCCTCAGTTTGGAGTGTACCTGCCCGGTAGCAATAATAACAGGATCCGTCATTATCTCTAGAGATATTGGACAAAGGAAGTCATTTGGAATCATCAAGGAAGGGCATTTCTCAAGATATTTGGGCAACATGATTTCATTTAAGCCATCGCAATCTTCAATACCAGCATTTTGTTTGAATTTGCTCAGAAGACTTATGATCTGCTGTGTGGACTCTATATTTTGCCCAGATCTTTCTTTTATAAGCATTTTGATGGCCATTGCTTCAGCTCCCAAGTCTGGGAGTGAATGCAGATCTAACTTTTTAGCAAGGCGTTCTAATATGCAACTGTTTGCATTCCGATCTTCCTCCTTTTGAGATAACAAAACCATCAAATCCATCGCTAGCTCCATGTCTTGAGTATCTGTCCTCCCCTTAGCTCTCTTTAGCTGAGAGCACATTAGCTCAAGCTGAAAAACGCAGAGTAAACTTCTTTTATGATTTGTAGCAGGTTCTATGCACAACGAATTTCAGCGGGGAGCTTGCACAAGTGATATACATGTCAAGCATGATTTTTTGGTAGTAGGGTAAATGGATATGATTTAAGTTCTCTTGCGGCATTACAAGAAATATGTTTAACCCTCTCTCTCTATATATAGGTTTCATCATAAACTAGCAACTTGTTTGTGTATTTGTACAGGATAATTCAAATTAAACATGAAGAAAAAATTGGAGTACAACAAAAGTTACAAACACTTACAATAGAAATAAATGTAGCAAAAAAAAAAAAAAATCCTATTATGTGCCATGCACGTTCAAAATTAAAATAGAAAAAAAGAGAAATACTTATTATAAATTATGATGTCCGTTGAATATAGACACAAAAAAACAAAGAAAATTCTTAAGGACCTTAGTGCATTTTTTTCTCATAATTTTTACCTTCTAAAGCTCTATGAGACAAAATACGTATATAAATGCTATTGCTCTTGTTCAACTAAAGCTTATGATCATTTTATCTTTTTTTTTTATTTACTTTTTTCGGTATCCATTATTACAAAAAAATTTATATATTCATGCTTTTATTGCGATGAATACAGCTATTCACACATTTTTATATTATTTTTCATTCAGATATTATAATCATACTATTTTACAACAACATAGTAAGGATTAAAACATGCACCTTAATATAGAAAAGATCTTCTCGAGGTTACTAACTTACACCAGAATATTTTGTACATATTTTCTGGCCACACAGTCGCCTCTCATGCAGCTATTATTGGTAATTATATGCTAAACTTAAGACTCACTCAATAATTGCTCGAATTTAAGTCAACTTAAAGAAGAAACCGATTTGCTTTGACTTAATAGTAACACACTTGAAATAAATTCCAATGACCTTGAATTTTCTTGATGTGTGAACGCACACATGCAAATACAAATAAACTCACCACCATCAACTATATTTATATTGACTGATTTATTTATTTGCTCGCGAACAAATTTATTGACGAAAGCGTGATTTGAACCCAAGACTTTGGCAACAATTTCCAATTTTTTTTACCAACTAAAACAACACCTACCCACAAATCAATGTGTGTGTGAGAGGGAGAGATCGATCATATTTATTTGTAATTAAAAATATTTATTAAATAAATATACTTGGCTTGAATTGTCTCAAAAGTCAATTCAAAACTGACCATTTTTATTCGACCCAAATTTGACTAATATCACTCAAATCTATGCCTTTTGAGTAATGGTAAATTTTGAATAGGATATTATATTGTAACAGCAATCATCGGCCCTAGAATATTTTAATATTTAGATTGTTTTGATTAGTTACTAAGAATAATATATAACGTAGCAACACATCAATTAAGTAGAAATCCCATACCTTAAACGTTGCTAGTAATTATGTACAAATGTATTCAGGTATATGCTAGGATAAGGATAATCTGGTGTCATCTTTCACCTTATATTTTTTGCATTGTTATGAATACTTTATCAAATCTTTTTGAACACTCAACTCTCATAAATCCCCATGAAGGCATCGATATGGGAAGAGATCACATCTCTCATATGTTGTATGCACATGATCTATTAGTTTTTGCAAAGATAAATTTACAAAATTCCCAATCTCTTAACAGAATTCTCAACCATTTCAAAGATCTTGATGGTTCGAGTATTAACTCCATCAAAATCACCGCCATTTTCTCAAAATAAACTACCAACTAAGATGAGTTGTGCGAGGTCCTGAACATGCCTAGAGGAAATTGTTTATCTACTTATTTGGGCATCCCTATAACTTCTAGAAGACTACTTGTATCTGATTTCCAACTTTTAATGAGAAATGCTTCTCTTCTCCTTGAAGGTTGGAAAGCTAGGTCGTTATTTCTGGCGGGCAGGTTGCAATTTCTCACATTAACCATCTGAAATACTATTACATATTGACTTATGGAGCAATATTACCAAAATATTATTACAAAATTTAAAACAAATTCGGTGTCAGATTCTTATTCCATGGTAATATTCATGTAATAAAGCTTCATCTCATCTCCTAGGCAAACACTTGCAAATGGCAATTTGGAGGGTTGGGCATCCTTGCTCTTTTTACTCTTACTTATGCCAATAATTGTTCTTTGATTTGGCTTATTTTAACCCATTATGGTCTGTTGGCTAAGTGGTGAAAGCACAAACACAACTCCCTTTGAAAATTGAGCTCAAATCAAGAGTCCAAATGCTCGAAAAGTTTATCTCATAGCTGAAATTTTCAAAAGGTTCATTGCATTTACAGTCACTGATTGCAGCAACTTCACTCTTTATTGGGATCCTTGGTATAATGGCAAATATTTTGCTGATTCCTTCAACATATCCTCTATTAGTTATATGATGCCTATACACGCACAGCTATTTGATATTATAAACAATGAAAGTTGAAACTTTCTTTCCTATTTTCTTAGTGTTTTATGTGATATTATTATTGCTACTCATATTTTGGCTATTGAAAGTGATCAAATTTCTTCACTTAATGGGGGCATTCCGAACTTCAATAAATTTTCTTTATCCTTCTATGATAACTGGGCCCATGTTACTTGGAGTAAACACATTTGGCATAAAAATCACTCCTTGGAGGGCTTAAAACTACTGATATTCTTATTTCTAGGAGTATTCTTACTTAACCAATCAATAATCTTTGTTTTGTTGGTCCTGAAAGATTTTTTAAATGTGACTATTTCTACATCATCCTCTGCAGCATTCTTCCCTTCTCCTCCTCATTTCTGCTAAGGCTAAATATTCACCAATTGCTTGATTTCATTTTTAATATGAACTCCGTCTTGCAGGTGGTTAAAAATATTTACTTCCTATGAGTTTACTGTTTGATTCATTATCTTTCGAAAAAAAAAAAAAACAGAAATAACAGGAAATTTGAACATCTTATTCAGAGCAAGTCGATGCTTTATTATCACATCACTAAGAAGGCAATACTCTTACACTATTGAGTTGGAGCAAATACAATGACATTAAAAGCTTATTCGAATGATTTTGGGCTTTCTCAGGCTAATGCTGGATAATGATGAAAAGTTTTTTTTTTCTCATGCTACTAAATCTCTCTTTCACCCTCCTGGATGGCCTTAGGCATTTTCCCGGCAATCAGGGGTGATTTTTTGCTTGATATATCATCCTCTTTTGATGATGGGTATATTTTGGTGCTTTCTGAATCCAATCTCATGTTTTGATCTGCGCTCTCTGCTTTAGTTCAATGTTTTTTGATGATATCTTCTGAGCATTGTTATTTTTAATACAAGTCGTGTAATTCCTTCTGATCCTTAGAATTATAATTGGGCTATTTCCATTTGTATTTTTTTTTTTTTTGATGTAATGAAATGGGCATTGTCCCTCAATTAAACCCCCCAAAAAAGTATCATGTTCAACTGCAAAGATATTTAATATGAACTGGCTCGAAAATTTGAGTAATTCTACATTGGCCGACAAATACAGACCGAACATAGGATCAAATGCAAAAAATAATGGAAAAAAGTAATTGAAGGCCGCGAAAAAACACAATAATACCTGTTCCTTAGCTTCATCAGAAATACAGAGGCCATCATAAGGCATGCCATCCACCGCCTGAGTCAATTTCTCATTAACAAAGTGAAATCTATTCATCACTGCCTCGCTCTCCAAAGCCTAATCGAGGGAAATCGTCCAAACTCCAAACAATAAGCTTTTAGCCAACCAACTCAAAACAGTGTTTTTTTTTCCTACAAAAAAATCTTATAAACATAAAAACTTACCAAATAGATCTTGCTTCCGTCATGACAGCATCTGAGAAGCTTCTTGGCAGCGGTGAAAGCCGTCCGGAGCCTGTAGAGCCTGGCGCAGACATCGTCGGGCACAGGGATCTCCAAATCGCGGATCTCCTCGAGCAATGGCACTGCGAGCTTCATCCGGCGAATGAGGTTATGGCACTCTTTCCTCTGCGTGCGGCGGTAATCGGAAAAAGACTGTACGGTCTCAACAGTCTCGAGGAGCTCAAGGACGAGGTCATCAACGTCCATCTCACTCTCTTTATCTCCTCCTCCTCCGCCGCCATCAGCAGCAGTGGCGGCCTCCCTAGACAGGTCGGCGTCGGAAACCTTCTCCATTCGAAAGGTTAGGGTTTGGAAGATCGTTCGCTTTCAAGATAGGGTTGAGAGGAGCAGGAAACGGATAACCGAGCCTACGTATGGCCATTAACGAATTCGGATTTGCTGTAATTGGCCGAGAGGTGAAGAGGCGGTGTGGCGTCATCGGTTTCTGTTGTCGAATCTGGGGATCTGAGGGAGTTTCGGAGCGAGGACGCTCTGCGCGGTTTCTTCGGCTTCGCACCCCGTCCCTTGCATTCCACTTCTTATTGCCTCTATCACTTATGAGGAAATTAAAAGTATGGTATTCTCTGCATCCAAAAACTCTACTCCCTGGCGTAATGGTTTTACTTTTGAGTTATATTTATCTTCTTGGTCGGTTATTGGTGACCAGCTTTGTCAAGTTGTCAAATATTTCTATAAAAGAAGTTACCTCCCATAAAAAGTCAAGGCCACTATTATTGTTCTAATTCCTAAGTCTCATCATGTTGGAAGCATCTCTAATTACAGGCCTATATATTTTGTGCAATATCCTTTATAAAATTATCCTTAAAATTCTTGCTTCAAGAATTAAACATATCATGCCTTAATTATTCATCCTAGCCAAATTTACTTCATTAAAAGTAGAAGCTCTACGAATAAAATTACTCTAGCTAAGAAAATTTTATCTAAGTTCCAAGTGGGCAACAGAGATAGCATGTGTTTGTGCCAAACTTGATATTTTTAAAGCATTTGACATGGTTTCAAGATGTTTTCTTTTTTATAGGCTGAAGAAAAAGGGGTGGGGTTTCCCAAAACTTTCATTGACTTGAACAGAAATTGCATTGAGAATGTCCACTATTCCTTATGCATCAAAATGGCACTCGAAGGGTTTTTCAACTCTTATTTTGGTTTGAGATAAAGGTGTCATCTTTCACCTTATATTTTTTGCATTGTTATGGATACTTTATCAAATCTTTTTGAACACTCAACTCATGAAGGCATCAATATGGGAAGAGATCACATCTCTCATCTGTTCATCTGTTGTATGCTTATGATCTATCAGTTTTTGCAAAGATAAATTTACAATATTCGCAATCACTTAACAGAATTCTTAACCATTACAAAGATCTTGATGGTTCGAGCATTAACTCCACCAAAATCACCACCATTTTCCCAAAATAAACTACCAACTAAGATGAGTTGAGTGAGGTCCTGAACATGTCTAGAAGAAATTGCTTATCTACTTATTTGGGCATCCCTACAACTTCTAGAAGGCTACTTGTAACTGATTTCCAACTTTTAATGAGAAATGCTTCTCTTCTTCTTGAAGGTTGGAAAGCTAGGTCGTTATTTCTTGCGGGCAGGTTGCAATTTCTCACATTCACCATTTGAAACACTATTACATATTGAGTTATGGAGCAATATTACCAAAATATTGTTACAAAATTTTAAACAATTTCTGTGCCAGATTCTTATTCCATGGTAATATTCATGTAAGAAAGCTTCATCTCATCTCCTAGGCAAACACTTGCAAACCATGGCAATTTGGAGGGTTAGGCATCCTTGCTCTTTTTACTATTACTTATGCCAATAATTGCTCTTTGATTTGGCGTATTTTAACCCATGATAGTCTGTTGGCTAAGTGGTGAAAGCACAAACACAACTACCTTTGAAAATTGAGCTCAAATCAAAACTCAGAATGCTCGAAAAGTTTAAAACTCATAGCTGAAAATTTCAAAAGGATCATTGCATTTACAGTCACTGACGCGGCAACTTCACTCTTTATTGGTATCCTTGGTATAATGGAAATTTTTTGCAGATTCCTTCAACATATCCTCTATTAGTTATATGATGCCTATACACGCACAGCTACTTGATATTATAAACAATGGAAGTTGAAACTTTCTTTCCTATTTTTTTAGTGTTTTATGTGATATTATTATTGCTACTCATATTTTGGCTATTGAAAGTGATCAAATTTCTTCACTTAATGGGGGCATTCCGAACTTCAATAAATTTTCTTTATCCTTCTATGATAACTGGGCTCATGTTACTTGGAGTAAACACATTTGGCATAAAAATCACTCTTTGCAGTTTTTAGTTTATGCCTGGTTATTATTGGTTGGAGGGCTTAAAACTACTGATATTCTTATTTTTAGGAGTATTCTTACTTAACCAATCAAAAATCTTTGTTTTATTGGTCCTGAAAGCTTCTTTGAATGTGACTATTTCTACAGCACCCTCTGCAGCATTCTTCCCTCTCCTCCTCATTTCTGCTAAGGCTAAATATTCACCAATTGCTTGATTTCATTTTTGATATGAACTCCGTCTTGCATGTGGTTTAAAATATTTACTTCTTATCAGTTAACTGCTTGATTCATTATCTTTGGAAAATAGAAATAGCAGGAAATTTGAATATCTTATTCGGAGCAAGTCGATGCTTTATTATCACATCACTAAGAAGGCAAGTACTCTTACAATATTGAGTTGGTTCAAATACAATGACATTAAAAGTTTATTTGAATAATTTTGTGCTTTCTCGAGCGGCTGCTGGATAATGATGAAAAGCTTTTTTTCTCCTCATGCTACTAAATCTCTCTTTCACCCCCCTGGATGGCCTTAGGCATCTGCCCGGCAATCAGGGTGATTTTTGGCTTGATATATTATCCTCTTTTGATGATGGATATATTTTGGTGCTTTCTGACTCCTCTCTCATGCTTTGATTTGCACTCTCTGCTTTAGTTCAATGTTTTTTTTTATGATATCTTCTGAGCTTTGTTATTTTTAATACAAGTCGTGTAATTCCTTCTGATCCTTAGAATTGTAATTGGGCTATTTCCATTTGTATTTATTTTTTTGATGTAATGAAATGGGCATTGAAAATTTGAGTAATGCTACATTGAACCATAAATACAGACAATACATAGAATCAAATGCAATAAATAATGGAAAAAAGTAAATGAAGGCCGAGAGAAAACATAATAATACCTGTTCCTTAGCCTCATCAGAAATACAAAGGCCATCATAAGGCATGCCATCCACCGCCTGAGTCAATTTCTCATTAACAAAGTGAAATCTATTCATCACTGCCTCGCTCTCCAAAGCCTAATCGAGGGAAATCGTCCAAACTCCAAACAATAAGCTTTTAGCCAATCAACTCAAAACAGTGATTTTTTTTCCTACAAAAAAATCTTATAAACATAAAAACTTACCAAATAGATCTTGCTTCCGTCATGACAGCATCTGAGAAGCTTCTTGGCAGCGGTGAAAGCCGTCCGGAGCCTGTAGAGCCTGGCGCAGACATCGTCGGGCACAGGGATCTCCAAATCGCGGATCTCCTCGAGCAATGGCACTGCGAGCTTCATCCGGCGAATGAGGTTATGGCACTCTTTCCTCTGCGTGCGGCGGTAATCGGAAAAAGACTGCACGGTCTCAACAGTCTCGAGGAGCTCAAGGGCGAGGTCATCAACGTCCATCTCACTCTCTTTATCTCCTCCTCCTCTGCCGCCATCAGCAGCAGTGGCGGCCTCCCTAGACAGGTCGGCGTCGGAAACCTTCTCCATTCGAAAGGTTAGGGTTTGGAAGATCGTTCGCTTTCAAGATAGGGTTGAGAGGAGCAGGAAACGGATAACCGAGCCTACGTATGGCCATTAACGAATTCGGATTTGCTGTAATTGGCCGAGAGGTGAAGAGGCGGTGTGGCGTCATCGGTTTCTGTTGTCGAATCTGGGGATCTGAGGGAGTTTCGGAGCGAGGACGCTCTGCGCGGTTTCTTCGGCTTCCGGAATGAGGAGAGGGCCAGCGGCCGTCAACTTCGAAACTCCCGCCACTTTATTCCCGGAGTTTTTTTTTTTTGAAAATTTTGGGGCATCACCCGTATATTAAACCAGAAGGATTACAAGTAAAAATTCAGCTCAACAAAATCAAAAATACAGTTAGGCAAGAGCTGAAATCAAAAAAGCAGAGATATAAAATATGTCTTCAGCAGGGCTCCGAAATCAAAACTGGTACAAAAAGACGAAAACCAACTGAATCCAGAATTCAGTGCCATCATCAACAGAAAAATTTCTTTGTTGCCATACAGAAATATCATACGGAGGAACCAACGGGTGCAAAATGCCAGGCCAGAAGCTGGAAGAAACACCGGTGGCAAGACGAGACCATCCAGGGAAATGGTACCATGTCATCATTGCCCTAAGACATCAAAAATCTCCGCTTGGTGGTAGGAATGCCAGGAGAAGCAGTTAGGAAAGGAAGCCTTTATGTTATCAAAATGTTTCCACTGAGAGACTTTGGCATAAATGGCCTTTGAGATATTATGGCATAGAGTTAGGAAGGAGTATTGTTTACCACCAAATTTCCTGTCATTTCTCTCCGTCCATAAAAAATAAACCAAGCAACAAGTTACAAAATAGCAAAAGTTCCTATCAGCAGCCATATAACTCTGACATTCCCAAAAAAATTCAAATAATTGCATAATATTAGGCCTCAATAAGAAGACCTGCACATCTGGGAGAAGTTGTTATAGAATACAGAACGTGATCTGGCATTGAAAGAACAGATGTGAAGTAGTTTCTTCCTCACTCTCACAGAGAGAGCAAATAGGATTAATAAGAATCCTTCTAGCCGCTAAATCATCAGTAGTTTTGAGCCCATTATTAACAGCTAACCAAGTAAAAGAATAGTACCGAAGGGCAAAATGTTTATGCCAGATGTATTTATACCAAGGGACTTTAAAAGTATCAGCAAAGTATACTATTTTGAAGGTATTATAGATAGGAGCACCGCACCAGCCCAAGAAAAAACATTGTTGCAGTCCAGAATTGGGGTATAAATCACTAACTGGTGGAGAGGAAAAGGAATAACATTGTTCAAAACCCAGCTACCATTAAAAATAAATTCCTTAACAGCCATACTCCTCGGTATAGAATTTTGGTTCAGGTTATCCAGGGATAAGCCATTCACCCAAGGGTCCCAAAACATGGAAATGTTGCAATCAGTTTGGGAAACATGAAATATCAATAAATGCTTAACATTAGAAGCAGTGGTGGAAATAAGTTTACAGAAATGAGAAGATCTATAATCGAGATGTTTAAAAGGAGATTCAAATTTGGTTCTGAACCAAGTATTAAGGGGGGATTCAAATGAATAGAATCTCCAAAGGAAAGAGCAGGCATAACCAAAATACATAGAGTTAATGTAAGGAATACCGAGCCCACCAAAACAGTAAGGCAGACTAGTATTTCTCCAAGCAATAAGATGTAATTTCCTTTCAGTAGTAGAGCCATGGAAAGGGAATCTCGCACAAATTCTATCAAGCAGCTTACAACAGGCTTTGGGTATAATCACACCACGGATCCAATACGCAATAGTATTAGCAATTGTGAATTTCAAGTATTGAATCCTACCTGCAAAAGACAAAAACTTAACTTTCCAACCAGCAAGTAGAGTAGTAATATTACTCAGAAGTGGTTGGAAGTGAGAAATAGAAAGTCTTTTCAGGGATATGGGTAGCCCGAGGTATTTAAGAGAGTGTTCAGCTTGAGAGAACTCAAGCAAGTTTAAAATATCAGTAGCAACTTGGGTGTTCCGAAAGAATATCATAGAGCATTTGTCTCTGTTAACATGAAGTCCAGTGGCTTTCCCAAAATCATATAAAGTGAGATTAAGAGCTTGAGCATTCTGAACAGTGTCCAGACCAAAAACCCAAACATCATCAGCATAGAGCAAGTGGCTGTATAAGGAATTTCCACAGGGGAATCCACTGAATCTACTACCATCAAGGAAACATGAAAAGGCATACATAACAATCGCAAAGAGTAAAGGCGAAAGGGGGCTTCCCTGCCTTAATCCAAAAGAAGATTTGAAGTAACCTTGTAGAACCCCATTAATACATATAGAAAAAGGCACGTCATAGATACAACATTTAATCCAAGTAATAAATTTATGAGGGAAACCCTTCTCATACAATCTAGATATAAGAAAATCCTTAGAAATAGAATCGAAAGCTTTTTTTATGTCCAATTTAGCACAAAAAATTTCTTTGCTAGAGACCACCTTGAATTCCCTTCGAATTTCCATAACAAGAATGATGTTATCAGCAGATAGCCTTTTTTGAATGAATCCAGCTTGACTATTATGGATGATAAGGGGCATAATGTTCTTCATCCGATTATCAAGGATTTTTGCAATAATTTTATAGAAAGTATTGCAAAGAGAGATGGGTCTGAAGTTGGTGATATCAGAAGCATGGGGAAGTTTGGGTATTAAGACAATGATAGTGGATTTAACATAGTTAGGGAGAGAGCCAATATCAAAAAAAAATTTAACAGCTTGGCAGACATAGTACCCGATAATCCCCCAAGAGGTTTTGTAAAACTCAAACGTATATCCATCCGGCCATGGGGTGGCAAAAGAAGAGCCAACAAACACCACATATTTAATTTCCTGATCAGTGATCGGGGCAGTAAGGGAAGCAATATGTTCAGGTATAATATTAGAGCCACAAGGAAAAGAGATTTCCTCAAGATGATTGGGTGGGGGAGCATTAAAAAGGTTTTGAAAGTATGCTACAGTGGCTTGAGCAATATAAGTGGGTGTGGTAAACAAACCCTCAGAGGTTGAAATCACTTTAATCCTATTAGAATTAACCCTAGCTTTAATCCTTGCATATAAAAAGCCCAAATCATCTTCCCCATGTGAAAGCTATTTAGCTTTACCCCTTTGCACAATCCAATTAGATCAAGCCTTGTGAAAAAAGGCTAGAGAGGTATTGATATCTTTGAGAGTAGCATTTAGTTTAGAGTTTAAAGGATCCCTCTAGATATACTCCAAACAGCATTTCTGATTTTTTTCCAGTAAATCAATTCTCTTTCAAGAAATGAGAGTTAGACCAATTCCTATGCTTCAAGAATTTCTTAAGGCAATTGAGTTTTAAGTAAAGATTAGCAATCAGGCTGGCATTAGAATGAGTAGAAAAAGTAGCAATAACACCATTCCAATACCCCTCCATAGAAATCCAATAATTTTTGAATAGAAATCTGCCACCAACGGAGGGGAGCAAGGAACCCAAGCAAAGGAGCAAAGGGGAATGGTCTGAACATCCAGGAGGTTCAACATTATAGTATGAAGTGGGGAATTTCTCAAGCCAAGCATAATTAACTAACATCCTATCCAACTTAATATGGATAGGACCATCCACTCTTTGGTTAAACCAGGTAAATTTCAAACCAGTAAAAGCAAGCTCAAAGGTGCCAGAGTTAAACAACCAGGAGTTTAATTCATTCAGTTGATTGTGCTGAGGGGAAGCACCACCATATTTCTAATTAGGATCTTTAAAACAGTTAAAATTAATATCCTCAGCTAAGGAAGCCAACTGCTCCCAAAGAGCCACCCTATCAGCCAAAGTTTTGGCAGCATAGACCGCAGATAAAGCAAAAGAGCAAGAGGGGGAGGTAGAGATAATACCATGAATAAGCTGAGGAGAGGAGTGCAACATTTGGAAATTAATAGAGTCAGAATTCCATTTCAGCCAAATTCTCTGAAGATTGGAAGAATCGAAGTTATTGCAGCTACCTTCTTTGAAAAACACGATGGGAATTGCAAAACCAGTCATCAAAGAGGAGGAGAGGCTGAATTTTGGCTTCAAGAATGCAAAGGAAATCTAGGTGGTGAGAAGTAATCAAATTTTTACAGGCATTCACTTTGTCTGGGATGTTAAACCCACAGATGTTACAACACGCAATTGATGGAAGGTTCATTTGGACTTGGTGCTTTTTTGCGCTTTCTTAGCGCTTTTGGGTTTGGGAGGATTATTTTGTTGGGCTTTATTTCTCGTCCTCAAGTCCGGAGGATCTTCTGATAGAAGGTGGAAGTTGCTTGAAGATGGCTCGGATTCTTCTCTTAAGTCTGCAGGTTCATCTAGGAGGAGAAGGTCAAATTTGTTTGGGGAAGTAGAGAGGTTCCCATAAGGTTTTATCCAAGGCTTAGGAGAAGTTTTTCGAATGTTAGAGGGGGATTTAGTGTCAATTTCAGGGTCATTCCCAGAAGAATCTCTGAGGTCATCTGTGAGAGGGGTCTCTTTAAGATGTGTGGATGAAGAAACTTCCACGTGTGAAGGAAGATTTAAATTAGGAATAGGATCTGGTGGGGGAGGGGCACTGTTGCTGATGTTAGGTAGGGGATCTGAAGGTAAATTGTGCAACGGTTGTAAATTTATGAGATTTATGATAAGAGCAGTAGGACTTTCAGAAATAATCAGGTGGTAAGAGGGGTAGGATTTGGGTGGCTGAGAAGAGTAGCAGGAGAAGTAGTAGGTGGAAAAGGGGGCCTACCCCTAGGTTTACTATTACTTATGCCACAATTTTGAGCCGGAACAATGGCTTTCGGTTGAGGATTTTTTGGACATAAATTAGGAGGGTGGACAAGCGACCCGCAACCGGAGCAAGGGGTCGGTTTCCAATCGTATATGACTTTGAGGTTAACATCATCACCATCTAAAGAAACAGGGATTTCATCCGGGAAAGAAGATTTGCTAGTTACCAGGACGTAGACCCTAGCAAAAGTGAGACGGCTTTTTCGAGCAGTGAGAGCGTCAACCGCTAAAGGGTCTCCAACAAAACTCGCTATTTTGGAAATGCCCAGAGGGTTCCAGACAGCCAATGACAGGTCAATAATCTTTATCCAGATCGGAATGGAGGATAACTCATCACGTTTAGGGATAAACTTAGGGTTCTATTTTTTCAGAATAAAAGGTCTCCCAAAGAAGAACCAAGGTCCACCAGACCAAGGAAAATCCAAATCCTCAACAGTAGAAAATTTGAAAAGAAAAAAAAAACATCATTTAACGAGAGCAAATCAACCGCACCTTTGGGGTTCCAAGCTTTTTTTTTATAACATTCTGCAAATTGAGATAAGTAGGTCTTAAACCTACTGAGTAACCGACTAAGGAGAGGCTCCAATCCGGAGTACCAAGTTGTAACTCTCCCGCAGAGAAAGGAATTTTAGTGGACGGCGGGACGAAAGAAAGAGAGAACTCACACGCAATAGGGACTTTGTTTGTAAGGTTAGAGAGGAAGTTTAGACCGGGCGAAGCCGCAAAAACCTGCCCTCTGGCACCAGGTAGCGAAGGGAAATCAATGCTGTAAGAGGTAGAAGCCATAGCGAGAGAGAAGGGGACAGAGAAGCCCCTCCCCAGAAGGGCGTCGCAGAGAACGCATGAAGGAGGCGCCAAAACAAAAAACCCTTGTAGAGCTCACAAAACTCTTTTCGGTGTTATTCATTTTTTGAAATGCTAGGAATGCATCTTAAAAATAATTCTGGTAAA